ATTCCTGTGGCTGCTAAAAGCACCACACAAAAAAAAAAAAAAGTAAAAGAATCTTGCCTGAGTTCCCATCGACACTGAAACAGTGGAGTTCGGGTCGGGTTTTCCTAAATCTATACCCGTCAGAAGGGCGAAGGCCTACCAAAGACATCGTTGGAACATCGGCAAGCAACACCATAAACCCTAATTCTATCTCTCTCCCATTCTCTACTTTCTCTTCTTTAACTTAACCAACTTTTCTTCTCCACTCTCACAAGCTTTTGGACAACACCCATAAGGTAAACATTCTGATTTTCCTTTTCCTTTTTTTAATGACTTATAGTGGTTCGATGGATCAGTTATTCGCGATTAAAGCTTAGTCCAATGATGTTAGAGTTCTAGAGAGCCTAATTTATTTGCTATTTGGAATGAATTGTGTCCGAGTAGTGCGGTATAGATATTTAGAATTCATACGGCCAACTCCAATTTATTTGAGATTAAGGCAAACTTGATAATTATTGTAGAGGTTTGATGGGCGAGAAGACTTCCATCTTTATTGTTATGTGTTATAGATTATCTGTAGCAGGATCGGAAACTCGGTCGATACTTCCACTCTTCTCCGCTTAAATACCAAAGCTTTTGTCTGCAGCAGTGTTCGATCCTGTGAAGCTAACCCACACATTAGAAGCTGCGCTCTTATCACTAGACTATGAGCCCGTTTGGCTTAGCTAATTTATAGTAGCTGATAAGGATTAGGTGCTCAAAAGCACTGATTTAAAAAATAAGCTTAAAAAATAAGCAGTTACATGTTTGGATAAAAGTGTTGAAATTAATAATAAGTAGCTGAAGAACTGGGTATATAAAGATTTTTGTTTTAAAAGAAGTATTTTAGGGATAGAATAGTAAATATCTTGGTCAAATCTAAAGTGCTTATAAGCTGAAATTTGATAAGTTGGGGGAGACCAACCTATGGCTTTTGGCTTATTTTTGGTTTATAAGCACTTAACTTATAAGCACTTATTATTTTACCAAACGCGTAGATAAGCCAAAAAATGCTTATAAGCCAGTTTGACCAGCTTATAAGCTTAGCCAAACACCCTCTATATAACATTGTCTTCCTGATTATTAATTTTAATACTAAGCTCATTAAATCATTTGCAGATCCATTCATACATGTCTTTCCTATGCTTATAATCTTTATGGCACACTTTCTCTATAAATATTCACATTCTCATTATTTTGAGTTGATGTCAATTATCCCAAGACACGTTCTTTCCTGAAAGTTTGTTATCATTTCTCTGCCTTAATGTTGCAATTTGCAAATAAAAGTTTCCAGTGTTGTTTTATGGTGAAGCTACTTTGGTAAGTTAAATATCTTGTTCTTTTTTGTTGGCGTAGATGGCATTGGTTGTTATCTGTGGTCAACCATGTAGCGGGAAATCAACAGCTGCAGCTTGTTTAGCTGAAGCACTTAAAGAAACAGAATCAAAGCCGTCAGTGAGAACTATTGATGAGACTTCGTTTCATCTTAGTCGCAACCAAAGTTATGCGAACATGACTGAGGAAAAGAACTTAAGAGGTGTATTAAGGTCTGAAGTTGATAGATCTTTGTCAAAGGACAGTATAGTTATAGTGGATTCTCTGAATAGCATCAAGGGATATAGATATGAATTGTGGTGTTTGGCTAGAGCAGCGGGGATTAGATATTGTGTCCTCCATTGTGACGTTGATGAGGAATCTTGTAGAATATGGAACGGAGAACGTCGCGAGAGAGGAGAACTATCTTATGATGATAATATATTTGAGGATCTTGTAAGAAGATTTGAAAGACCAGATAGCAAAAATAGATGGGATTCTCCCTTATTTGAGCTATGGCCAGCTAAAGATGGAATTGATAAATTGTCTACAGCTATAGTTGATGCTGTTAGCTATCTAACAAAAAAAGTGGACTCTAAAACAAGGGATGTTAAGATTCTACAGCCAACCATTGCAACACAAAGTGCACGTGGTTCTGAGGCAAATTCTTTATATGAGATGGACAGGGCGACGCAAGAAGTTACAAATGCTATTGTGGAAGCTCAGTCCCATGCTCTTGGGGGTCCTCTCAATGGTGTATCTCTTGGTCCAGGATTACCTACTGTAGATATCTCGAGATCTGTTAGCTTGCCAGAGCTGCGTAGGCTACGAAGAACTTTCATCAAGCTTGCTGGACAGACAAGCTTGAGCGGGCCACCCCCTCCTTCAGATGCTGATAGTGCAAAAAGGATGTTTGTTGATTACTTAAACAGAGAACTAGCAAGTGGTTGAAGAATTACGGTTCGTATGAATGCAGATAGGTGCCTTAACATTGATTGTATATAGTAGTGAGAGAGACATACTGTATTCCTGCAAATGATGGTGAGAGGACTTCAGTTCATGGAGCTTTACTGCTTTACCATAGTAGTATATGTTCATCTTCCACCGAAAATAACTGTGAGATTTGGTCATTCATTTAGAATTGCTGCATTTGTTTTCCAAGTTAGATTGTTTCATTTTGTTAAAATAGCCCTTTTCACCTCTACATTTTTGGTCTTGGATGACCCTTTTTCCTTGGGTCTAAAATGCCATTCCTGTAGACTATTTGGTTGCTTATGGTTTGATTACGGCTGATGGATGTTTGTACTGCGAATTCAGAACATATAGAACTTTCTAGTTAATAACATTTTCCCTTGATTTGTTGGAGAGTTGTATATGTTGAACGTTATGTTAAGCTAGATTTTTCTCCAGTATGCAAGGATTAAGCTGACTGAAAAGAATATGACAATTAAAATAATAATGAGAAAAAACATAACCTTCAAACCAAGCTAGCTACTGGTACAGTTGGTTGCTGAGGACTTCTGTTTACAAAGCATTTCCGCAAGTTTTGGACCCATGAACCTGAGCAAGAATAATGGTGAACCCATATGGTTAAAATACACACACTTACATTTCTCATTTCGTGCTTGAAATTTCAGTATTATGGATTTTCTCTTTGTAAGAACTATAATAATCACAATTTCTTCTATCAAAACCCCATCATTATCTTCATTATGGCTTTACTCTTTCAAGATTTGTCTTGGTTGGTGAACTTGCTACTACACCACTTAGCACTTGACACTTAGCTGGCGTTTGGACAATGATTTGGTTAAAACTTGAAATAAAGAGTTTTTGAGGTTGTATTGAAAAATAATTTTTGGAAGTTGAAATTGTGTTTGGACATGTATTTTATTTGAAGTTTTTTTGAAGTTTTGTAAGTGCAAGAAAAAATTTCACCCAAAAACTGTTCTAAACTAGATTTTTGGAACTTGAAAAAAAAAATTCAATATTGTTTAAAAAACTGATCATATTCCATGAACAAAAGTTGTCAAAATCTATGGCCGAACGGCAGGTTTGTCTTGAACTTGAGGAGTAGGACTACTCTTCCGCAGTGAATACCAAGCTCAAATCTACGATTTGGCTCAAGAAATCGAAATGGGTGTGCGGATTTTGATCTTCTTAGCTCTCTTTACAACGACCATTTTCAGTAAAAGCTCTCTTTCTCTCATCCCAGATGGTTTTTACGTTGTTGGAAATGAAACCGTTTGGAATAATTCGGATAAGTCACCTTGTGGGTGGACCTGCATTTCTTGCCATCCCAGTGACCAGAGAGTTCAAGCTGTCAGCTTCCCGTATATGCATAGAAATTATATCTTCCAGCATCGGTAAGCTCACCAGATTGCAGAGATTGGCACTTGATGAAAAGAGTCTTGGAGAAATTATATCTTCCAGCATCGGTAAGCTCACCAGATTGCAGAGATTGGCACTTGATGAAAACAGTCTGCATGCCCGTGATTCCTAATGAGATTGGCAGTTATGCTGTACTCAGAGCCATATACCTTGATGAGGATGATGTTGTTGGGGCAGGAGGGTTCGGTATGAGTATCGGATAGTTAATGATTGCGGAACATTTGCTGTTAAATGAATTGACCAGACTCGTGAAAGCTATGATCAAGTCTTTGAGAGAGTTGGAATCTTGGTAGCATCAAACACATTAATTTTGGTCAACCTTCGAGGCTTCCTACTGCAAGGCTTCTCATCTATGATTATTTGACCATGCGAAGCTTGGTCGGTTTCTTGCATGAACGTGTGGATATGATCGGTTGCTGAACTCTGAAAATAGCTCTTCGTCCTGCATGTGACAGGGAAAAGGCCTACATATCCATCTTTCGTGAAGCGGGAGCCCTAAATGTAGTTGGTTGGATGAATACCTTGCTGAGGAAGAATAGAATGGAAGACATTCTAAATGAGAGGTGCACAGATGCAGACGTAGAGACAGTAGAAGCAATTCTAGAAATAGCTGCTAGATGCAAATCCAGATGATAGACCTTCCATGCAACTTTGGAGCAAGAGGTCATGTCATCATGCATGGTCCCCGTGATGGGTCGCATTCAGATCATTCTTGGAATAGTTTTCTGGGGCGTAATATTTAGAAACACATCGCAGCCTGATGATGAAATGTGTAGTCTGCCATTGCAGCTTTTCTTACTAATGATCTGTGTGCCTTTTTACCTGCAGATATTCTTGCAGTCAGTTGAACAATGATAAGTCCTAACCCATGGCATTATGAAATAAGTATTAATCTATTTATCAAAAAAAGAAGGTAGTAATCTCATCAGGTTTGTCTTCATTAATATGATTGGAACGCTTACTTTTCTTCCCTTTACACTGTTTAGCAACTGGATTGAAGTTCCAAAGTTTTATTACCTTCTAGGCTTGTAATTCTGCATATGCTTTCAGTTCTCTTTCCCAAAATTATTGCTTCACAATCACGAGATAGTAGGTGTGCTCACTCATTTGAATTTATTACCCAATCTTGTAAAAAAGAAATGGAAGTGATATTGGTGTGTCACACAGTGATGGTACTAAATTTTTTTCCAGAATCACTAAAGATACTTGCACAAGTGCATATAGGTTCAGCAGACTTGAATTTCCAGAAAGTATGTAATTTTGCTGTCATGAAGAAATCTACTAAAACGCGATTAACATCATTTGCAAGTAAATTGCATTCTTCGCAAATTACTGGGACAATAATATGAATAATTGCCATTTAAGTTTCTGTACAAAGGACTAGTCGCATCACCTTAGGAATAGGGGTGGGGAAGGGGGAGACACACAACTGTAAAACATGAAAAATAGCATTATCAATTATTGTCAGATTTAGTAGGAGCATTTTTGCTTGTAGGCAATGTCCCATTTCCATCTTCAAGATTCTTCCACTCTTTGCTCTTTTCAAACTCCTTTGCAGTGTCATAGGAAGCATGGAGTCCAAAAAAGATGTAATACACCAAAAGAAAACCAGTCCATGCAGCAAACCTAATGAATGAATACTTGTCAATTGACCCTAGAAGGAATATGTTAATAGCAATTGAGGCTGAAGGTAGCCATGGAACCAAAGGTACACCCCAAAGCTTTGGATCATGTGCTTGAGGAACGAAAAGCCAAATCCCCAGTGTTGCCAAGAACCATATTGGCACAGTAATACAGTAGACAATCCATCCCTTGTCACTTAGTCCCCAATAAGCAGCTGTTGCGGCTGATGAAGCGAGGATGACCAGTAGACAAGCAATGAGCTTGTTACGGTTTGCATTTGTGGTCACTCCACTCACATAGTAACGACGAACAAGCAGAGCTAGTGCCACAAGCATGAAGATGAAGAGGGTGGAAATTGAGAGAAGATTAGATAAAATGTCAAGTTTTGTAAAGAAGGCAATGATAGCAGTTGCAGCTGTCATAACTGCTGTTGCATTAACTGGTGTTCCAGTCTTGCCATCTACATATGAAAACCAAGGTGGCATCATATGAGTTCTGGCAATGTGAGTTAAGTAACGAGCTTGACCAACAGCACTAACTAACAACACTGATGTCATTCCTTTCAACGCCCCCGCAGCCACTATGTATTGCGCCCAACTCCACCCCACATTTTTAAATGCCACAGAAAATGGAGCATGAGGATCAATGTTTTGATAAGGCTGCATAAGGCACAGAGTAATGGCCAATAAACAGTACAAAGTTGTGGTGATCACCATAGAACCAACTAAGCCAATGGGGATGTCTCTACCGGGATCCTTAGTTTCCTCAGCCATGGTAGAAACTGCATCAAAGCCAACATAAGCAAAGAATAGAACTGCAGAGGCTTTGAAGATACCGCGTGCACCAAATGGCGTAAAGGGTGTATAGTTCTTAGTATCTGACTTGATAAGGCCACAGATGATGATGAAAAAGATCACGATGATGTGAATGATTGAGGCGACATAATTGAGACGAGAAGAACCCTTTGTGCTAAGAATTGCAATGAAACAGATGATAATGCAAACCCCAACAGCAAGAGGATCAAGTTGGTTGTAGCCATCTGCTAAAGTGTTCACCTTGATAAGGAATTTGTCAGGCTGGTAGTTTAGTAAAGTTGCAAAGTAAGAAGTCCAAGAACGAGCAACTGCAGCACCACCTATGACATATTCTAGGAGTATATTACCAGCAGCAATGAAGGCCACAAAGTCACCAAGCTCCACCCTCAAGTAAGCAAATGAACCACCTGCGACAGGAATCTCAACAGCAAACTCAGTATAGCAGAAAACAGAGAGCAAAGCAGAGACGCCAGAAACGACATATGAGAGAACAACAGCAGGGCCTGCATCTTGACTTGCTTCAAGACCAGTTAGCACAAAAATCCCAGCACCAATCACTGCACCCATTCCAAACCATATCAAGTCCCACCACGAAAGTGTCTTCTTCATCTCATGTTGGCTCCTTGACTTTACTTCCACCTCCGCTTCGTCTTTGGACCGTGTCAGCACCCTGTCCATCAATCTACTCGGGGTTTGCTTCAGCGCCTTCACGTAGTTCTCCCAGCTCTTGAATGACTCCTCTGGAAGGAAGTCTTCTTTTGTGCGTGAACATATTCTTCTTCTTAATTCTGACTCTCTTCCCATTTTCTTCTGCATATTTCAAGCATTTCTTAGTATGAATGATTTTCTAATGCTATTTAATTACAATACGAAACTGATATTATCATCAGTGTCAGATCTCAATGTGTCTAGCATGAACCTTATATATGACTAAAAAAAAGGGCAGCCCGGTGCCCTAAGCCTTCCCGGACCACAAGGGTCAATCGTACCACGACTTGGATCCGTGACCTCCTGGTCACATTGCAAGAACCTTATATATGACTATGAGAAAAAAATAAAAATAGGTAAACATAAGAAACCACAGATTCTAAATTCCACTTATGAGAAACAATGGCTAGTAGTATTTTGTTTGCTCAGAAAAATAGGTAAAACATGTATGTATTATTTTACATGATAATTTGTTTTGGCACGAGATGGCTATTTTAGGGACATGATTTCTATGAAAGAGGCGTCAAAGCGAAGTTGATGATACTTTAAAATTCCAATAAAATAACTCAGATCAGTAGAAGATGTAATAACAAGACGATCATGTTTCTTCCCCACCCTCAAACTTCTTCAGTTAATAGTAGAGACGAACAATTATATGAAACAACAAAAGAATGAAGAAATTAAAAGATATATACCTGGTGAGAAAAGATTGATAGAAGAGAAACAGTATAAAGTGTAGTAGTATATTTATAGAAGATGAGTGATTCTTGTGAATTCTTTGATTGGCTGAAAAACTAGGCGCTAGCAATAACATCGGACTGAATCTTGTTCATGAAAAGTTCTATATTAAGAGATTCAGATTCTAGTAATATAAAATTGTGTGACAAAGGGCCCGCTGGAGGCAAACTTAGCAATTTTAGTCCCTATTTTTTGACTGATTACGACTTTGGTCATGTGCCCGTTACATTGTGCAAATTTCCTATTTTTCCATACTAAGGAGTCGTCTGGTAAAGATATATTAGGAAAAATAATATATGGATTAGTTTTGGTATTACTAACCCCTTGTTTGGTAGTGTTTTTAACCTATGTATAACTAACACATTTATTAGTTATACACCATAAGTATTTTATATATATATATATATATAGCAAACCATGACATTATTAATACAATGGTTTTTAATACATAGATAAGCATGTATAAAAACAGAATTACCTTTTTAAAACTTACCAAAATGTCGTTAAGAAATAATTCCAGCATAACTAGTCGCACCATAACTAAACCCATCATTACTAATACATCTGATACCCATTATTCTTATACACCCTACCAAACGAGCCCTTATTTAATACTATTCACACCCTACCAAATGACCCCTAAAAGGATAAAATGCTACTCCCTCCGTTCCAGTTCATGTGAACCTATTTCCTTTTTGGTCCGTTGCAAAAAGAATGACCCCTTTCTAAATTTGGAAACAATTTAGCTTAAACTTACAATTCTACCCTTAATGAGAAGCTTTTATAATCACAAAAATACTCTGGGTCCCTTTTTGATTTGTTTAGGACCACAAATTCCAAAAGTCTTCATTTTTTCTTAAACTTCGTGCACAGTCAAACAGATTCACGTAAATTGGAACAGAGGGTGTACTACTTATCAAGAAGTTTTCATCACTTTACATATTTACTGCTCCTGTCAAGTGTATCAACTTCAATTGTTTTGACCTCCTGCTTAATTAAGTTATCTCAAGTCTCAACTTCCAAATTAGTTGCACCTTCAAGAGGTTTATTAGGAATTTGAGAATTGAATGGTTAATGTTGATTGTTAAAATGTAAGATATGCTTTCAGAGGTTAAAAAAGGACAATATTAGAAGAAATGGATAGTCTATAAATTCTGGGTCAATTGGTTTTTTTGGCTCTTTACAACCTTGTTTTTAATTTTATGACCTTATTTTTCTTTTTACACACTGAAGATTTACTTTTATACGTAAGATATTTGCCGTTTACACATAAGAGATCTAAAAAGGTCATTTTCGTAAATTTAAAATTGTAAAGGAGCATGATGTACAAATAACACATAAATTGTGTTACTTTACTTTGATAGAGTTGGCTTGCCGAATGAATTAAATTTGCTCATCCCGTATAAAATGAAGGGTAAATAAGCTAAACTTACAGCAAATGGAGTAGCCTCTGATTTAAGTTAGTGAGAAAGAAAATGGAATTTGCCTTTATAAAGTATTGCAAGTAATTAATCGATGACTAAGTCAATTAGCTTAAATAAACGGCTGATAAAGACAGCAATTTGACAGCGAAGGCTCATAAAAAAGACCATGAAAATATGGAAAAATCTCCAAGAGAAACAGAAATAGAAATATATCGATGTATAGCCCCACATTACTAGCAAATATACAATTGTAGGCCTTCTGGATATTTGCCAGCTTGCATGCGATAAATGAATTTAAAATTTACTCCTATAGATTGAATTTTGGACGACTTGCATTTTGTTGTATTACATAACGTTGTAAAAATTAATTACCAGTTATTCTGTACTTTCTAATTTCTATGGATTATCATTTTCCTTTATTTTTAAAATTTAAAATAATACGATCTTTACAATTGTTTGGGTGTATGAACAAGATGTTCAACAAAGGAAATAATGTCATTTTGAACTTAATTAAGTAAACATCATAAAACGATTGTTCTTGAAAATATGGAATACTCTCAAACAGGAGCAGATATAGAAATATATCAATGTAAAGTCCTAAACGGATTAAGATTTTTATGCTATTGGTGTAACTTACTGATGATAGGCTATATAACGTATTTTAGTCGCTTATCACACTCTAATGTATTGCACTTTAATTGAGTTTGAGCTTTACCGCTAGTGTTTTGCATTAAATTGTGTATTTTATACCTTATAGGAGTGATTCCGAGCTATGTAGATGTTATGGAATGAATTCAAGTGATTTGGAGCTGTGAAGTCTGAGTAAAAGCCCAAGGAATTAAGCCGGTATCGTGTTCGGGGATCGACGAATGATAGTTAAGAACGAAACGAAGAATCGAGTGGGCATATGATGCATTGTCTAGTAAAATGCACATAACTTTTCACTCAGAAATCCGTTTGGGCTCCACAATATATAGTTAGAAAGTTATTTGAAAGGGCTACAACTTTCATGTTTTGCATTTTCGCAAATTCCCACTACCGCGGCGCGTGGTGCGGCGCGCCTGTGGAAATTTTCTGCAGCCTGTCAGAATCAACAATCTGAGCTTTTCCACTGCCGCCCCACATGGCACGTCGCCCCATGCAGTGCGGTAGTGCAAATTTTACGGAGTGAGTATCCTATTTCGCGCGGAGAAGTTATTTTCTTCTCAGCCCGACCCTACTTGGTATAAATACATGTAAAAATGCTATTTTGAAAGGTTGGACATACTTTTGACACAAATTCGACCTAAGGAGGCAGAGACACAATAGGAGCAAGGCGGAGAATTCTTCTACAAGTTTTTCCTTCCTCTTCCTATTTTTTCATTGTTGGTTATGACTTTTAGTATTGTAGTTTTACTTACTATTATGAATAGCTAATTTGTTATCTAGGGTTTTGATGGAACCTTTTATAGGATAAATTATTATTATGTTTTTATATAATTGAGCCGTTGGATTTCTCTACTTGTTCAACTACGTATTTATTGTTGTTGATTGAATGATCATCGATTGACTGTGCCTATTTATTATGTGTTGCTTGAGAAAGGATACATATTTAGGCGGTTGTTGAACAACGTCACTCCTAACGTATGTGAGAAATCAATACAACGGGTTTAAAGGTAGGTTTAGAAATAACAAAGCCTTGACATGATCATAATGAGCGATTAGATAAAGCCAACTAGAGTAGTTTGAAAGAATATGTCTAGTAAATTGTTGTAGTTGCTCGAGAGAGAATTACGACACCTAAAGTGCTCACGATTAGTAGAGAATACATAGGCGAAATTGTTGGGAACATAGTGGGAAGGATTCCAACATTTGAAAAAATCATAACTCTAGACCTCCTTAGTTTTGTCTCAAATTTCATCATTGTTAGTTGATAATTTTACTGCTTTATAATAGTTTTAGCTAATTAGTTAGAAATAAATATTATAATCTCTATAATTAGGAAATTGTTTGGACTTGTGGTTCTTAGCAATATTGAACAACTGCAGCTAAGTCTTAGTTCTCTGTGGGATTCGACTTTGGACTTATAGACCGGATTATATTTGCAACGACTGCTTATCCTTTTTAGGACTAGAGTTGGGCGTGATCACTTACCTGTTATTGCAGGCTAGTTATTATAATTATTAGTTTACCAATTGATGTTTGATATAAAGATTTAATGTAATTACTTTAGAAGTGATACGATTGTGTTAGATATTTGTAATATATATATATATCCATACTATAAGCATGAAATCTTTAATTAGCGAAATATTATTCATCTTTTTAACCTTACATAAATTGACCTCGCATTAGTCAAATAGTCATTTAATTATTTTTTTAAAATTTAAATTCTAAAATCAATTAAAAAATTACATATTAAATCTTTCCTTATATAAACTTCTATATATGACTTATGCATGCTGTAAGCATGAAGAATCAAGAGAAGAATTGCTAAAAAGACCTTTTGAAATCTTGATTGAAGAAAATGACCTTCATTTTTCTTTCTCACTTATTTTTGGGCTAAAAAATTGCTAAGACATGGTTTAATCGCTTAAGGGGTGGTCGGGGGTCAATTTAACATTATCAAATTTTGGAGGTTAGCTATTTTAGTTAGAAAAACTAAATTTTCTCTCTCTAATCGCCATAGACCCACTCTACCAAGTCGGTTTTCGGCGATAACTGACCTAAAAGAGGCGACGATAGACTTTCTCTCATCTATAACAACCCCTTTAGCTGTGTATTTCTTCGGAAATTATAAATTTTGGGTAAGTTCTAATTTTTTTTTTAATAAATCAGAGATTTTGGGGTAGATGAATATATCTTTTTAAAGCGAAGTGCATGTGCACTTGCTGTTTGTATTTGATTTGTGTAAAAGCATATGATGATGTTGTTCATTGATCGACTAGCTTTGGGCTCTATTTTGGAAAAGAATTTCAAACTTTTCCAAAAATATTCACAAGCGAACATCACTAAACAGATTTTCTTCCCGGTAACGAACAATTGAGGTGAAATTATCTAATAATATTTATTTATCTATCTATACTATACTATATTAAAAGCACGAAAACCCTTAGCGAAATGTCGTTCGTCTTTTTTATCCTTCGTTTGTACACTTTAATGGACAAAATAGTAACTACAAATACAATACCTTTTTGAAAAAAACCCTTAACGAAATGTCGTTCGTCTTTTTTACCCTTCGTTAGTACAAGTTATAATGGATAAAATAGTAACTACAAATACAACACCTTTTTGAAAAAAATAATTAACAGAAGATTCTCCTTCTTTAATTACTATCCTTAATACTACAAAGAGGCCACCGTCAAATTTTTTCGTTGGTTAAAAAGAAAAAATAATAAGACAATAACTAGGAGACCCATTAATATCCTAATAAACAAGTCAAATTTATTGTAGTTAAAAAAGGAAAACAATATTTGAGATAAACTTTCTAAATCTTAGATTGTTCGGGTAGTTTTTTTTTTATAATAAATGATTTCATGAATTTTGCAGTGACAAATGTTCATGTAGTTTCTACCTAGCTATCAATTCAAGTCTGTAATTACAAATTAAATAATATTCTTGTAATTTTTTATAAGTACTATATTTATATTATAAACTT